GTTGTCCCATAGGGTCCATGAGTTATCTGCAAAGGTAAAAGCACTAAAATGACCTGGACGATATAAGATATATGCCCGAATATTTGGATACATGCCTGGCACGTGGTTTTGAGGGGCAGGCTGGAATTGTAGTCGCCTACCCATAAATGCCATAGCCAGGACTTCTATGTTCACACCAGGTGCAGCACTGTCGTCCTCTGGGCATACGGCACGGTGCTCTTCTTCTATCCAGCGGACAATGTCTGCGAAATCAGCAACCGAATAAGGGTTACAATTGTAGGCAAGGAGACATGCATTGATGGCATAGTACGCACAGCGGCCTCGCTGTGTGTGTGTGTGTGTGTGTGTGTGTGTGTGTGTGTGTGTGTGTGTGTGTATGTGCCACACATGTGAAGTCGCAGTCGAGAGCGGTAGTAAAGTCGAAGTCGAGCGTGGTAGTGCAGAGTGAAGTAGTAAAGTCGAAGTTGAGCGTAGAGTAGCGTAGGGGTCGATCTTCCCACGCCGTGGGATTTGCCTGTGCTGCCACCAAAAATGTTCGTGCTGCCAGTGCACTCCGTAGGATTTTCCAAAAGGGCAGCCTACGGGAACAACTTTGCCCGTTGGGAAGCCAGTGCCCAGAAACAGCCCGCTCCAACGGGCAAACAGGTTCCCAACGGCACTTGACTCCGGTAGCACCCCACGGCACTCCGCGGCGCGTCTATCTGAGCCCACGACACTTGACTCCAGTAGTACCCCACAGCACTCCGCGGCACGTCTATCTCAGCCGTCGGTCCGAACCGACGGCCTGGATCTCGGCGAGGTCCTAAGATCTTAAGACCGCATCTATCCAGGCCATCGGTCTGGTAGGACCTGACAGCCCAGATGGCAGATTTGTTACATGGTTCGGTCGATCTGCGCCGTGGGCCGGTAGGACAGACGATGGCCCGGATTTCAGATTTGTCGCGTTAGCGATTTTAATAGTGTAGGGACAAACAAAACAAAGAGAGGATGAAAAAAAAAAACACCGTGCCACATGGGTAGCTACATGGCCCGATTTTGCGCCTTTAACCCCCCACACCCCTGACTCCCCCTAGGCCTCCCCCCTTTTCGTCCCCCCATCTCTCTCTCTCTCTCTCTCTCTCTCTCTCTCTCTCTCTCTCTCTCTCTCGTGTTCGTGTGTGTGAGCGTGCCGCCGTTAGTGTGCGTGTGTCGCCATGTTCGCTGTACACAACTCCACCAAAGGAAGCAGGTGTGTGCTGGACAGTTTCGTCGAACTTTCACCAACTCATTAGGTTGAACCCCGACAGGCCGAGGTGGAAAGGAAAGAGAGAGAGAGGATGGCAGAAGGAGGTGGACGGGAGGTGGGTGGAGGCCGAGGGGAGATTGGTGATCCCAATGGCAGGAGGGAGGTGGGTGGAGGTGGA